TTTGTATAAAGATTCAACAATACAGTATGCTAGATAATTATGTACTGTTTTGTATAAAGATTCAACAATACAGTATGCTAGATAATTATGTACAGTTTTGTATAAAGATTCAACAATACAGTATGCTAGATAATTATATACAGTTTTGTATAAAGATTCAACAATACAGTATGTTAGATAATTATGTACGGTTTTGTATAAAGATTCAACAATACAGTATGTTAGATAATTATGTACGGTTTTGTATAAAAATTCAACAATACAGTATTTTAGATAATTATGTATGATTTTCTAGCCCACCTTCGGAAAGACATTGTTCTTTTCACCTTATCCTCTTCGGGAAAAGAAGTAGAAGCCTGACGGACCTCTTCTCCAAACTGTTTCATCTGAAATTATTTTGCCCAAGATTAATTAATGCTCTCTCATAATAAGATAACATTCGTAAGGTGCACCACAAGTATACTGTTGTATTTTATTTGCCCAAGTAAAAGGTATAGAAGGTGTGCTTAGAACTCATTCCTATATTTTTGTTCTGCTCAATCTGATAGACATAGTTACGCACTGCCGTCTGACATTATAACAAGCTCATATATAAGAAGTAAGCCACGTATCTTTACTTATTTTCATCAGACTCTACACTGTACATGAACGTCAGTTGTGTGACCAAAAGGAATTTTTGTGATTCTATTTTCGAGGTTTGGCTGGAAGTTAATGAAATGTTGGCGTGTGATACGTTGTCGTCTCGAAAATTATAGTTTATTATGTTGTTAACAGGGCTCAGAGATATACTCAGCTTTATTGCAATGGCTGTTTGAGTTGGAGGATTCTCTTTCGTAATTACAACTAAGGAATCATTGTCCCAGATTTGACTTGGGATTTAATTTCGGAGCCCTTTGCCGCTATAAAAGTACTTCCACGGAGAACATTAACTTCCCCTTTCGAAAAGCTGTGACCTTTGATTCTGAACCGTTAAGAAGTAACGATGTATGAATATCGATCTTCAAAAGTATTGATATATCTCTATTCCTAAGGTTTCTCATGGCAGCATGGCAATATTGAATTGTCAGAAAGTCACCGTTAAATATATAGATGGTAAATATTTCGCTTGTAACATCAGAGCTCGTAGTTCAGAGTCGCGCCCTCTACAAAATTATAGCAAATTCTTCTTATATGGTGTGTAAATTTTCATAACGTAACATTTATAATAATTATAACATAATACAACAATAGACTGCTTGTCTCAGCAGCTGGGAACGAGAAGATAGCATTTTGATTAATATACGAGTTTGATATTGCAGGTAACACAGTAATATAGGTGTTGTACAACACTGATTCATGGTTTGATGGTACATTTTTAATGTTCTAAGTTCAAGATGCAGCATATAGATTAATGATTACTTATAAAGATTTTAGAATAAGTTTCCCAAGTAATGTTTAATGTTCTAAGTACAAAATGCAGCACGTAGATAAGTGGTTACTTAGGCCTTATTTTAACGTACCTTGTCAGCACGTAGATAAGTGATTTTTCCTTATTTTAACGTACCTTGTCTAAGGTTTTCCTGACGTCTTCAATAATAGCTTCTGTAGGTTTTTCTTCCTTGTCTAACATGTTGTTCAAATTTTCAACCTAAAAACTCAGTTAGTTAGAATGTCAATTGAAATATTCACACGAAGATAAGTGCAAATAACAAGCACAATGACTTGGTTAAATTTTCAGAGACACATTTAACTGAAAGACACGTGGAGATAACATACACATATCTCTTCAAACAGTACAACTTTGAATGCCCAATTTTCTAGGATCGAATCGTTTCCTACACTCTTCAATTTCATAGGCTTATGTAACTATTATTGTTTGCAATATATAGTAAATATTAACTGAAACAAAAAAGAGCACGCTAGTTATTTCCATACCTCGTTTCATGGGGTCATCCCCCTCTAAGGAGGATCAAAATAATTGGAACACCAAACAAAGTCTGAAAAGACCTAAATAGTGTTCTTGGATAAAGTCATTTGTAATAGAACTTTTGTAATGAAAAACAATCGTTTACTGAGCCACGTACACAGTAATCACCTATCCTTTCTTAAACTCATTACTTTCATCTACATACTTTGATATTCCCTATAAATAGTGCTTTGTTTCTATTTAGCCAGGGGTACATCTAGCTATAATTATTATCAAAGTCAACAAATACGCATTCAAATATTTATTGCTTGTGAATCTGATAAAGCAATGTATTCGGTTTCGATGTTTAACACAGGTGAGAAACATGATTAAAAACTTACAAAACATACAATAAAGAAAACAAGTTTAAAAATAAAACAAAGAAAAAACGCGCAAATATAAAAGGTAAATGAAAATTTTTAATTATATATATTTCTCCAGTTCAATCAGGGTTGAGGCTATTCTTCTCTTGGATTCTAATTCTCAATTATATTTGCGTTCGTTCAAGTTTTAAGATCAAACACAACTATTGTTTTTAATCTCAGATATTGCTGGCTTATAAGAGATGACAATATTCCACTTATAAGTTATAAGAGATGACAATATTCCACTTATAAGTTATAAGAGATGACAATATTCCACTTATAAGTTATAAGAGATGACAATATTCCACTTATAAGTTATAAGAGATGACAATATTCCACTTATAAGTTATAAGAGATGACAATATTCCATTATAAGTTATAAGAGATGACAATATTCCATTTATAAGTTATAAGAGATGACAATATTCTACTTATAAGTTATAAGAGATGACAATATTCTACTTATAAGTTATAAGAGATGACAATAGTCCACTTATAAGTTATAAGAGATGACAATATTCTACTTATAAGTTATAAGAGATGACAATATTCTACTTATAAGTTATAAGAGATGACAATAGTCCACTTATAAGAGATAAGAGATGACAATAGTCCACTTATAAGTTGTAAGAGATGACAATATTCCACTTACTTCCTTCAATAGGTTAGAAACCTTGCTTTGGATATTCTGAACAACAGCAAATTTCCTACGCCATTCTCCTCTTTCACTCTCCAAAAGTTGTTTGTCGTTGTAAAGTTTTGCGCTAGCTGCTCTAAATTTAACGTTCGAATCTCTGAGTTCAACCAGATCAGCCTGGAGCTAGAAAATACATATATATAAATACTTACTGTTTATCTAGATCAACCGGGAGCTAGGAAATACATATATAAATACTTACTGTTTATCCAGATCAGCCTGGAGCTAGAAAATACATATATATAAATACTTACTGTTTATTTAAATCAACCGGGAGCTAGGAAATACGTATATAAACACTTACTGTTTATTCAGATCAGCCTGAAGCCAAGAAATATATATATAAATACTTACTGTTTATTCAGATCAGCCTGAAGCTAGGAAATACATATATATAAACACTTACTGTTTATCCAGATCAGCCTGAAGCTAGGAAATACATATATATAAACACTTACTGTTTATCCAGATCAGCCGGAAGCTAGGAAATACATATATAAACACTTACTGTTTATCCAGATCAGCCGGGAGCTAGAAAATACATATATGTAAACACTTACTGTTTATCCAGATCAGCCCGAAGCTAGAAATACATATATAAACACTTACTGTTTATTCAGATCAGCCTGAAGCTAAGAAATATATATATAAACACTTACTGTTTATCCAGATCAGCTGGGAGCTAGAAAATACATATATGTAAACACTTACTGTTTATCCAGATCAGCCGGGAGCTAGGAAATACATATATACAAATAATTACTGTTTATTCAGATCAGCCGAGAGCTAGAAAATACATATATATAAATTTACTGTTTATCCAGATCATACTGAAGGTAGGAAATATCTCTCTGTCACTCTATATGTTTGTATCTATGAGTATATATATAATAAGTTAACAGCTCAAATTTCAATTACTTGGGCATAATATTTCACGTAACAATTTGTTACATAATTCATTTTAAATATTACAATATTTACGAATATTTTCTACTTTCTTTCACTTGTACATTAATGTCCTGTTTTTTACTGACGTTTATGTATTTAGTTGTTGTCAAGCTGTTAAATTTTGGAATACTTTGAACCTGACATATTTTTTGTGGTATCGTGAAAGGAATGTTAATGCATTAGAGTGATTTCCGTGTGTGAAATTTTGGGATTCATAAAATTGATGATATCAATTTTGTTGAAATTATTTTTCTTCTATTAAGACTCGTGTGAGGACCAACAAAACATACCTCTGCAACTTTCCGTTGATTTTCAAGATGCTCCCGTTCATAAGCTGACTTCAAACTCTCTATCTGTTTTCTGAAATCCTGTTTCTCATTGTCTCTTTCCTGTTCAAAGTGTATTAATCTGTCACGGAGTTCGTTCACTAAGTGCTGAGTGTCCGCCAGGAGATGCTGCTGTTCGTTCCTCTCTTTCTCCCAAACCAATTGTAGCCGGGTTCGAGCATAAGTTTTAGTACCTCCACGACTGCCTTCAAGAATATTCTTTTCTTCAACCTTTTAACAACAGACAACAAATATTGTTTAGACTATGGTTTCTTTAACCCTTTTTACAACAGACAACACATATTGTTTAGGCTATGGTTTCTTCAACCTTTCTACAACAGACAACAAATATTGTTCAGGCTATGGTTTCTTCAACCCTTTTTACAACAGACAACAAATATTGTTTAGGCTATGGTTTCTTCAACCTTTTTACAACAGACAATAAATATTGTTTAGGCTTTGGTTTTAATAGTTTACATACTTCTTTTTTGCATTGTAACGTAAGACGATAATTGTAATTTGATAGACAAACAGACCTCCTTAGGTAGAATATTACAAGCGAAACAAAAAACTAATTACTTTCAATATTTTAATATATATATATAAATTGATAGAATGGGTAAACATCAACGAGTATCATGGCGTATTGTTCCAACGTTTTTCGATGTGGAATGATATTATGTTACATCAGAGTTCCCACGAATATCTGTTTTAATAACTATCATTCTTTTCTAGAGTTATTTGGTGTGGAAGAAATCTCTGTTGTAATAATTCCGCAAGAAGATCTTTGAAAAAGAACACCATATCGTTTCAAAGTATTTTTGAGTGAGAGTTTCTATTATCGCAGGACATAAAGAGATCTATGTCAAATTTTCTTTGAAGTGAAAGAAGTCTCTATTACAAAAATACTAACAACGAGGTCTCAACAACGCAAACAAGGAGGTCTCTGCAATGTCCACAATGAGATATTTACAAAGATAACAAAGAGATCTCTGTAAGATAACATCACATCGTTCCCAAGTCTTTTGAAATAGAAAAAGTCTGTGGTAAAAGGCGATGAATGTAGGTACTCAGCGAGAATCAGTAGGGAGATGTTAACTTGATGTTATATGATTTTGAGGGGGAGATAAATTATAGGTAGTGTATTCATTAAAGCGAAAGAAGCGGCGAAGAGTAACACCGAGTTTCGAAATTTTTGGATAACGATATAGCCGAAGATAAGTATATTAAGACTTCTTTTAACCATTATTAGCTAAAGTCGTATTCTCTTTTTAGTACATACTTCAAGTTCAGTTGGCTTATTGTTTTGTATTATTGATAAAAGCAACTGTAGTTATGGTAGTATGTAATAACATAATTTGAGCCTCGTGATAAAACTTTGTAAGTTAGACTCATGATTACATTATATGTTATTTTTGTTAAAGTAACTCACGGAATCCACTTCTTTGATATCACAACTTGATGTTCTTTAAACCAACCGAACTGATATAAATGTTTTGTCTTTTTTTGTTAAGTACATAATAAGCATAATTTCCCGAATTTAATAGATTAATTAATTCTATCCAATTAATCAGAATTTTAGTAGTTAATAAACTTCTATTTTACATCATAGTAGTATTGTTGATTGTTTAAAAGTGTATCTGGAAACTTCAAAGCTTATAATTCCATTTATCATTATCATATTAAAGTGTAAGTCCATCTATTATTGTTATAGTAAAGTGTAAGTCCATTTATTATTGTTATAGTAAAGTGTAAGTCCATTTATTATTGTTATAGTAAAGTGTAAGTCCATCTATTATTGTTATAGTAAAGTGTAGGTCCATTTATTATTGTTATAGTAAAGTGTAGGTCCATTTATTATTGTTATAGTAAAGTGTAAGTCCATCTATTATTGTTATTGTAAAGCGTAATTGCATGTATTTTTGTTGTAATAAAGTTAAATTCCATCTATTTTCATTACAATAAAGTGTAATTACGTCTGTTACTATTGCGACAAGATGTAATTATATTAATTATTACTGTAATAAAGTTAATTCGACATATTATTGAAATAATAAAGTGTAATTACGTCTGTTATTATTGCAATAAGGTGTAATTCCTCTGTAATGTTTATGTCTTCATTGAAATTATTTCTAATTTAACCATTACCTTTTATTAAATGGATGTATTTGTCAAGAAAAAATCATGTTTTATGTTCATTTAATATTTTGAAATATATATAGGAAGTACAAAGTAAAATGTTTCAATATTTACAGACACGAACCAAAGCGTTTAAGGACGCAATGTTTAAAATGCTATCATTATTGTTAAAATCATGTAGATAACAATATCGTAACCACTATATTTTTTATTACAAGATTATTTTGGTTTGGCATTCTCTGCAATATGACTTAGTAATCCAAACAATATTAATGTCAATATTAAAATATTCTCTGCAACAAGGCTTAATAGTCCAAATGATATTCATATCATAGTGTTAGAAAATTCTCTGCAACAAGGTTTAGTAATCCAAATAATGTTCATATCAATAATATTAGAATATTATCTATAACAAGGCTTAATAGTCCAAACAATAATAATATCAATAATGTTAGGATATATGTGCTCTAAACAGTAATAAGCTCAATATTTTTATAACATTGTTTTGAATTAGATACGCAAGTATACATTAATTAAATTTGAATACCTGGTTTAGCTTGGACTTCAAGTCAGAAGCGAGAACTTGCCATTGGCTCTTATCTGCTTCATATTGGACTTTCAAATTTCTGTTTTCCATGTTGGCCTGCTCCAGTTTCTGCTCTGTATCCAGTAATTTACGCTTTAACTCTTCTGATGACCGCCGAATTGATTCGATCTGAAAGAGAAAGTTCAGTTTATGATTATATATTCAACTAGAGTGGCTCTGAATGAGGAACTTTAAAATATTCAGAACTTCGCCCAAACAAATATTTCTACTAGAATTCGTCAAGCGTCACTCAACAAGTGAAGTATGCCTCCTCATCAGGAAACTCCAGAATTATACACAATTCACTAGCTCATGAAGATTTGGTTTCCAATTAGTCAAGTATGCCTTCTCATGCTCCATCAACTCGTATCGCAGCCGCAGCAAGCAAGGCGCAGCGTCTTGTAACAATTAATTATCCATGTACACAAAGGGCAGTAGAAAAAGTAATCTACCTGTCCCAGGCAAACTTCCACAACATATTCATTTATATTATTCCATGCAAAGACACATACATTAGATGGCTTATGGAAATTATGCATGAAGGAGGTGTGTGCTTTAGACATAACAACTTAAATACAGAGCCTTTTGCAAAAGAACTTAAAGCTATTGTCAATATAGAGCATGAATGGACGTGACAGCATGAATTACAATGACATGGTGAAGCTCCAAAATCATTTTAATACGACGTTCTTGACATAAACTCTGTATATACCAGATCAGTGAGCTTTTGGATGTATATAAATCCCAGAAGCGCCCATGTAAAGAAGAAACGACAGGAGTATAGAAAGCTACAGTTACACATAGGATAAATAATAGACGAAACTACCGATTAAGTCCAGTAAGCTCTTCTTGCTTACCCGGGTCTCAAACAAGAAGAATGTCCTGAAGAGTGACCATTAAAACTAACTTCGATCTTTCTGACAGGAAGCAGAACGTACTATGTAAGTCCTAGAAGGTGATTACGAATATGTTACAAGTAAGCAGCACAAAAAAGTGAAATTGACTTACATAATTACGTTATTTATACTTAACAGCTTTATTCATGAAGCCAGTTAAATTTAAGAATTTAACTATTTTGTCCTGTTGAGGCCACCTGGCAGATAGCATGAGGAACCAAGTAATTTCTAAAGAGAAGATTCTAAGGTTGTTTTGACTATCAGAGGTCTACTGACAGGTAGCGAGTTACCATATAATTACTAAAGGGAGGACTCTAAGGTTGTTTTGACTACTTGAAGTATTCTGACCGGTAGCGAGTTACCATATAATTACTAAAGGGAGGAGCCTAAGGTTGTTTTGACTACTTGAAGTATTCTGACCGGTAGCGAGTTACCATATAATTACTAAAGGGAGGACTCTAAGGTTGTTTTGACTACTTGAGGTCTCCTGATAGGTAACAAGTTACCATATAATTCCTAGAGAAAGGACTCTAAGGTTGTTTTGACTGCTTGAGGTCTTCTGACAGGTAGCGAGTTACCATATAATTTCTATAGGAGGACTCTAAGGTTGTTTTGACTACTTGAAGTCTTCTGACCGGTAGCGAGTTACCATATAATTTCTAAAGGGAGGAGCCTAAGGTTGTTTTGACTACTTGATGTCTTCTGACAGGTAACAAGTTACCATATAATTTCTATAGGGAGGACTCTAAGGTTGTTTTGACTACTTGAAGTCTTCTGACAGGTAGCGAGTTACCATATAATTTCTAAAGGGAGGACTCTAAGGTTGTTTTGACTACTTGAAGTCTTCTGACCGGTAGCGAGTTACCATATAATTTCTAAAGGGAGGACTCTAAGGTTGTTTTGACTACTTGAGGTCTTCTGACAGGTAGCAAGTTACCATATAATTTCTAAAGGGAGGACTCTAAGGTTGTTTTGACTACTTGAAGTCTTCTGACAGAAAGCGAGTTACCATATAATTTCCAAAGGGAGGACTCTAAGGTTGTTTTGACTATCAGAGGTCTACTGACAGATAACAAGTTACCATATAATTCCTAGAGAAAGGACTCTAAGGTTGTTTTGACTATCTGAGGTTTTCTGACAGGTAGCACGATGTATTATATAATTTTTAAAAGAAAAACATTAAAATTATCATATATATAATGTATAATCCAAACACCTTAGTTATCATAAAAACAATGTATTTACACAGCTTCATAATTATCAAACAGGCATTCTATGAACGTGACACTTTTATTTTCTATTAGACACTGTTTACACGTGGACCCTTTATTATGAAACGACGATTTATAAATACAGCACCTTTAATATCAAACAGACACTATATAAGCACGGCACCTTTATTATCAAACAGATGATTTTGTTTACATATTTTCTTTACCATTCTTGAAACAGAACTACATTTTATAGTTGCAACGCCAAAAGTTGGCAAAGTAAAATTCACGATAATAATCACGTAAATGACAGTTTTTTCCACAACTCTCTTATCGGATACAAAATGAGGGCATTTCAGATCTGTGTTTTGTTTCCCAAACTCGGTTCGTCGTTAATACCTTTTGGCGTTTAAACAGTAACTCTGAGAATGTTATACTATAACATATGTTCAATATTTAAACAGTAACTCTGAGAATGTTATACTATAACATGTGTTCAGTACCAGAACTCAAAACATGAGCTGGACGATGAGAAAGAAATGATTATCTGAAACTCTATTTATATATGATGAGTTATGGTTAAAGAAAGGCCTCTTTGGAAGTGATTCGTGGGAAATAGACCTGAAATGTTATTTTGAAACGCCAATAATTTTGAATCTGAAATGAATAATTGAAGAGAAATATAAAAAAATACTTCTGCAGCTTACGTATATTTATCTTATATTTTAGACCTATTGCTTTCTTATGCTTCTCCACCTTTCGGGTTATATATCGTAACTTATCGTGTATTATACTGCATATATAAATTGAGTTTCAGAAAAATTTTCTTTCCCAAGGCTCGGTGCTTTTCTACATTCTCTATATCGCCTTCTGTTCTAGCTTCAGTCAGTTCACCTGTAGCTACTGGTTTCTCCAGATTTCTCTATTTCTAGAATAATGCCTACACACTGACGTTCAGCAACTCATCCCATAATAGTAAGATTGGCATCTAATTCTCAACACTGTGAAGTTCTTTTGAAAAAGGTTGGTATTACCTGTTACCTATCCAGAAGTTTGGTTTCCCAGCTCTGAAGAAACAACCACTATCACTTCTTTGTTTTCTGATGTTATTCGAGGTGTGGATCCAAGTGTTACTCAAACATAAATCATATCCGAGTTCCTAGACGATCGAATTTCTATTCGATGTGTCATCTGCATCAATGATCTGATTTACACAACGAAGGTTCTGGTTGACAGCAGTAAAGTTATTGATAATATTGTGTTTCACTGTTCTTACACCTTCAGACAACAACATGGAGTAGAGGTTTGAGAGAAGTCTTTGCTACAACTCATACTACTGCTAGGTGTCCCAATAAGCCAATCTATCCACATTGTCGAGACCCACATCTAGCGCGTCAGTGTACATATCTAGACTAACTTCTTATCTACAACACTTGCCAGCTTTGGTTATTCTTACAAGTGTCACAATAAACCTGATACCCGACTACAGTAGTTATAGCTGGTACCTCATAACATAATCAACATAACTGTCTCTCCACTTCCCACAGTTGAAGATAGAATTACATTTTGTTAAATGACTGGTTTGTTTCGTACTGGCAATAAATTTTCCTCCTTCTCCTCTCTTTCGGTTTACTTGTTTCTTTTATATCTTTCAATTTTGTTTCTTCTGCTAAACGCCTGTATTTTATATCCCGTTCACAATATGAAGGTCGCGGGTTCGAATCCCCGTCACACCAAACATGCTCGCCCTTGCAGTCGTGGGGGCGTTATAATATGACGGTCAATCCCACTATTCGTTGGTAAAAGAGTAGCCTAAGAGTTGGCGGTGGGTGGTGATGACTAGCTGCCTTCCTTCTAGTTTTTCACTGATTAATTAGGGACTGCAGATAGTCCTCGTGTAGTTTTGCACGAAATTCAAAACCACGCCAAGCTAAGTGTTCTCCGAACCCTCTAATAATTTCCTAACGACTAGAGTAATTCTCTGATCCATTACGAACTGACAAACAATAGACCACTTCTCTCACTAACTCATTTCTCCAATGACAATGAAAGCATTAAAAAGAGAACCGTTAGAAAAAATATATTTCTCGTCTCCTATTTCATTTTGTTTGGACTTTATGTTCTAAGGCTTACTGACACAGAACAGGACAATTAAAGTTCTTTAACTGTCGCTATAACAAGTTTTTAACAAAGAAATTTGGAAATTATACAGAATACCTCTCTATCTTTAAGTGGACTTACCTCAAATATTAGCTTGCTCCTCTCACGCCGCATGGAGTCGCTTTTTAATTCTCCTAACGATTTCTCGGCCTGCGCTAGTTTCTCTCGGTAATGGTCCCTTTCTTTGGTCAAGTTCATGATTTCTTTTCCCATTTTTTCAATCTCGCCGCCCATCATTACAATACGGTCTTCATAGTCTGCTCGCAACGCCCCCAGGTTGGCTTTCTGCACATGCTCCGAATGCTCCAATTGGGTTCGCAGACCATACATTTCCTGGCGGCCAGTAATGGATATTGTACGAGACGTTCTTTCAGCACGTTCCAACTCGACAACTTTCCTGGAAAGATCTTCTATCTGTTGGGCAAAGCAAGGTATTGTTTAATTATCTTTTTATACTTCATAAAATTGTCTAATTAAATATGTTTGATAATTTTAAAGATAGCCCTATAAAATAAATATATTACAGTACCTAGAAAGCAAAGAACTTAAAACAATTATAAAGTAGCTGGAAATCAAACAACTGAAGGTGAATTATCTTTTGATTTTTGTAATACTTGAAATGAATGAATTACACACTGTAAGTCACATCTGAAACGTTTTGTAATAACACTACCAAAAAGACAATAGGATAAACTTAAATAGAAGAAAACACTATTTTTTTTTAAAAGCACTTTAAGGTATTGGATATTCTGGTGTTTCGAACATGAATGCAACCTAATGCTACACATGGTCTAAATGGCCATTTCAGAGGCTGCATAGCAAATTTAATTTAGACCAGCTGGCCAGAGGGAGGGCTACGACACATGGGCTAAATGTTCATATCAGAGGCTGCAAGGTTCAGGTATCCATGATTTAGAACAGCTTGTCACAGGGAGGGTTGCCATACATGGGATAAATGGTCATATCATTGGCTGCAAGGTTCAGGAATTGCCATCCATAATTTAGAACTTCTGGCCAGAGGAGGATGGAGACCGGTCAGCACCACAATCATAGTCATAGCACTCCTACAACTGACATTTCTGAGTATGGAAAGCAACGTACCATCCCTCTAACCTTGGACTTTACAATTCGCAGTATAATAGCCACTTCTCCATGTCCAGCCAGAACTCAAAGAGCCACTGTGTCAGTTGTTACTAACTAACATTCTGGCTGATTTTTTTCTCCAATAACTCTTTCTAACTCTCGCTTATCAGAATGTTAATCTTTAATACATTCTCTACAATTCTTTCTATCCTCCTTTATCAGAATGTTAATCTTT